TCCAAGATGTCGAATCATAATGAAACAACAAGGCCATTATTCTCACTCATCTAGCTTTGGCTGACCACTTCGCCAGGACCTAGTCTCAGACGCGTCAGAGCTCAAGCCCACTTTGCTAGTCGAGGCACAGGCCCAGGCAAACCTGGGAAAGCAGGAGGCGCCACTGAGAGACTTTCACACGTGCAACAACTGAGACCAGTCATGATGTGCCCCGCAAACTTGTGATCACTTTTGCCCACCTACAGACCTACAGACCTCCCAAATTAGGCTTGCACCAGCTGCATCTCAGCCATGTGAAGCCAATGCTGCTCATGTCAGGTGTCCAGTGGCCCCTCAGCCGTCGTGAAGCTCACAGGTATCCCAACCTCCATGACTGGGGCAAGCATTTTTGATTGCCTTCAGCAGCCACCTGGCCAATGGCCAACTGTTTGCAGCCTCGGCAAACCCTGGGCAAAACCAGCAACGTTGGACCCAATTAGAAGAGCCCTCGTCACGTTTTTTGGAAATCCTCGGTTCAACAAGGTTTCCGTGTCCGTGTTGGCTTTGGGAAGGATAGTCCTAAGAATATCGGTTCTTTCCACACCGAACTTCTCGTTTTATGGCGGGCGCGCACTGGAAAACGTGTCCACTTGTATGTTGATTCGGGGTGGCCCTCAACCAAAAAAGTATATAAAAGTGGCCATCTGCAAATTGAAGCCATCTCAGTCGTGTAAAGGTTTGTAGGTGGCTTCTCCACGGGCCTTCAAGAGCCTCCGCTCGGTTGAATTCGCACGTGATACGCATCAGAGCTGGACTTGAGCACTGAAGGCATTTTGTATGCGTTGCGCAGCTAGCAGCCCATGCTTTTTCAGCACCTAGGTTTGGGGGACCTCTCAAGAGCCTCAGCCTCACGACAAACCGAGAGTGCTTTGGCTGCAGTGCCACTTTTTGTTTCCTACAGGAACGAAATGAATAGGGCGTGAGCTATCCTGCGTCCAGGTAGCAGCTTACTTTGCCCTTGCTTAATTAAGTAAGGAGGGCAGGGGCAGGGTGGAGCGGCCTTGAAGAAACAGAAGAAACATATAATTTAATCATATATAGATGTTAATAAAATTGCCCTTGGTGCAGTCCACATGGCAACTCTTTTCGTTTGTGAGTTGGGGTGGCGTCATTACACAGCTGCCTGCCGGGTTGGCAAGGACCGGTGAGCACAATGGCAGCGGCACAGCCGAGTTTGTGGATCCTGCTTCCGCAACCGAGGCCAAGTTGTCCGGGGTCTGATGGGAGAACAAGCGACTGAAGCGATTTCCAATATTGTAGGACTCAGCAACTAAGGCTTAGTTGCTAAGCGCCCTGTGCACTAAGTGTCCGACTTAGGTATATATGACAATGAGGGTATGACAGTATATCAGTTTGTGAGCTGCTGATCCAAAAGCAAGCGAGTGGCAGAAGTTTTTCCGTCAAGCGACAGGCATGCCGCTTCTCGCCATTCTTTGGCTTCATTGAAGTGACGCAGGACACTGAACCCCAAAGTCACCGGTCAACTACCGCGCGTGTGGGGGTTTGTGAGCATTTACGCCTCAACTGTCATTAATGGGAACAACGGTCTGAGGGTGATGCTTCTTATTAGTACTAGTCGAAACATCAAGTCAAGTGCGCGGTTCACTCCGGTCAATCACAAGCATGTGTTGGGTTGGCACCCTAGCAACATGCTGGAAGATACTGGAAGCATTTGGAAGCAGTCGTCGATGGTCTGACCTTGCAACACTCCCTTTCACAGTGATGCGCAACAAAAGCCTCAGCAACTATTGCTCGGCGTTGTTGCTTGTACCCCTTGTCACGTTTAATGTCGTGTTCAGTTCTTTTGAATCTTGTGCAACTTGTGGACACAACGAGTTCAGCGCAATGTACTTAAAATTTATCAACATTTCATGATGTCTCCCCACTTGAGTTGAAAAAATAGACCCGGTAATATGTATTTAGTATTAAGTAAGGAAGGTTCCCAGAGGTTCAGAAATAGCTTGGCCACCGCTTGGTATTCTGTTGCTTAACTTGGAGATGCTACCTTGTCGTGCTAGCAAAACACAGGGTTGCGCTAGGTTTGGCGCTAGGTTCAAAAACTTAGGTAAGATTAACAAACAACACATACACACATTGGCAATTAAACTTGTTGAGGTATGAACGGACAACCCGGCCGGTTTGGCTGTGATTGGTTTATGTAAGCAGGGGCCACCGACACCCACCCATCCACTGCGGGCATGCTCCCATTGTGTTTTGGATTCTTTGTGCGTGGAAAAACTATTGTATAACGACTTCAAAGCTAGGAAAACCGGCAGACCGCAACGCGTGCTCTTGATGACAGCCGTTTGGTGGCCTGACGCGCTGGCGGGGGAGCGTGCTAGATCCGCGCTAGACCCGTGCTAGATGCGTGCTAGAGCACTTTGCAACTTTGACCACTTGGCCAACTGCTTACCACGGCTACTACTCAATACACTAAAGAGATACAAGCGGATTGCCTGCACGACATTGCGCTGGGGTGATGAGAGTGGGTAAAAAGACGGGAAGGGCAGCTGGGGTCGGGGGTTTTGTACGCACGAATAGAGAGAAAAATGATAGGAACAACTTGCTTATGAGAGGACTGCTACTTTCAGTTTCACATTTGGAGCCGTTCGACCTGTAAGTCAGGATGTAGCTATGAAAGGGGCACCCGCAACATACAACCATATACGTGAGCAGATGTCGTCTACATGAAAGCCAACGCTCGGACAGTGACTTTAGAACGGTTAGTTTTTTTAGCTCACCTACAGGCTGCGAGGACTGCCCATGTCAGGAGACCCCACCAGCACCACCAAAGCATGAGGCTGAAAGCGAGGCCAGGCTCCCAAGACAAGAGGGTTTTGTCCAGAACATGTTACATATTTTTACAAGACAGACAGACAAATTGTTATTTCGTATTTTTTCGTTGACTCTTGCAGGATCCCATTCGGATCCTTTGGTGTGTGCATGTGTGTGCGACCCGAGGTGCCTCGCAAATCCCGCTGGTCTGAAGAAGATGACATTGACCTGGGTCCTTTCAACCAGGAGGGGCACAAGCCGAGGGTGCTGGTGTCGAGTTTCAACTGCCTTTGGGCAAGGAAGAGGCTCAGAACATGCTCCGAGCATGTTCGACTCGCCTTCTGAACGTGAGAAGCTTCGAAAAACACCCCGTGGCACACTACAGAAAGTGTTGGTCAGTGTGCCACTTGACCAACTAAGACGGTCGGATGATTTTGCGCATATTGACACAACATGACACAACTAATGGCATCACCCACTTACTTGAATCGCCAAACTCATCAAACCATTTAAGCCCGGCAGCCTCCAAAAGAGTTCCTTTTTCATCCTTTTCCCTCCCTGGCCGCCAGATCTTGCCGCCCAAGAGGGGCTCCAGCACACCCGCCATGCCCTCGGCACCTGCGGCGGATGACTTGGACCTGGGGCCGTTCAATGACATCCTGCCCAAACCAGGACTGAGACATGCTACATGCTAGACATTGCTAGACTAGAAAGCGTTGAAGCAGGTGTTGCAAAATCCAAGAGTGCAAAAATACGACGATACAAGATGATCCAAGTTACTTTTCTTCGAGCCACCCCCACCTGACCAGGTTTGAGGCAATATGAACCGCGATGTGGTAGCGTAAAGGGGTTCTAGGGTAGGTTGTGGTAGTTTGATAATGTTATATATTATATATATGTATACTTAGATTTGTTGTCATTGTACGTTTCGTTCTTCGTTGTTTGATTCTTTGTTGCTTGTCACCGTTTTTGTCCTTCAGCGTTGTCAAGTGCCACCTTTGGCGTTATCATAATGTGTGTTACCTGTTGCTTCTCTGCTGTCATGTCGGGCCACTGGCCGGGATCCTTGGTCGGGCCGCTGGCCAGGGGGACGTGTTACTGCTCGTTTGTGGTGGTGTCATTGTGTATTGTTTGTCGTTTGCTGTCGTGTTTGCTCTTCAGCAGGCCAACGGTGATGCCCTGCAGCAATAACTCACAATGCTGGGTTGTCATGGGTTGCGTACTCTGAAATCTAGCTACCTCAATCCTGCCGGGTGTGAAACCCCAACGTTTGGCCATCTCGTGGGCAAGGCCCGTTGAGCGAAGTTTGGCAATCGGGTTCAAGCTGCCATCATTGCATCAGTTCCGTTTTTTTTCCTCCCTTCTTCGGATTGAATATCTTAGGCATTATGCCCCGCGCACGACCGCAGGCGTCGAGGATGATTTGGACCTAGGACCCTTCAATGACGTCTTTCGGAACAAGCCAGCTCTTCCGGCGCAAGAGGACGATGACGACTTGGGTCCTTTTAATGCTGTTCTCCCACCAAGATAGCGCCGTTGCCCTCCTTGCTTGGTAGCACCTCGCGGGGAGGGCAATTGTATTCATTTGCTCCGACGGCCAACTGCGACCGGCCGTGCAATTGAGACAGTTTTGGTAAGGTGTTGCTGACCCAGTTGTTCCAAGTTTGTTCCACATGACATGACTCGCCAACCTAATTAGACATCTGACAGTGATCACAGCAGTAACGTTGCTTTGGCCCAGCCGGGGGTTGAATGCTAATAGAGCGAAGAGGTCGAGTGGAGAGACGAAACTATTGCCACCGCGAGAAAAGAATGCTTGCGGTCAGGAGGTGCAACTCTTGGATTCTTGGATCCTGAGAATTCCTTAGCAGCCTTAGCCCTTGTTGCTAGTATTAGCGGTGCCCCTGTTACTAGTAGCATCTAGTAGCTTCTGGCTACTAGTACCAGTAGTAATGTCCTTGTTACTAGTAGCGATGCCCAGGCTAGCTTCCAGCTGCTGAGAATTCCTTAGTTAGCCTTTTTTCGGGCCATGCCAGAAATTCGGGCCTGAGGTTCCAAGTTTAGCCATGTCTCAACTGCTTGTAACATTGATTCAGCATTGCAGCCTCTCCACATTTCAAACGGGGCTGCAGGATAAGGCCCCGAAAAGATTCCTCAGCAACTCCGTTCTGATGCGTTGTTGCCAGGTGCTCAGCCGCGGTTGGCGCAGCTGCTGGTGGACGCCAACTCCCCGGTCGACACCTCCAACGTGCTCGGGGAGACGCCGCTCTTGGCCGCGGTTCGGGAACCAAACACAGAAAGGTCGGGGGAGTCTGCTTGTGACTCAGTCATACTCAGTGAGGGTCCTTCTTCATATTCTTAAGAGTCCTACCGGGATGTATTTAAAAACTTGAGAATTCTATAAGATTCTAGATGTGCTCCTGGAAGGAATCTCCAGGAATTTCTCATATTTTGCGATGTGTGTTCAGTTGTGAAATGTGTTGAAACATGTTTGGATCCCTAGTTTTCGAAGCAGCCCCCTGAAGCTGCGCTAGTCCAGCAGCTCTGGGGAAACCGGTCAGGTCAGAGCGCAAGCGACTGCGGATGTCGTAGAGGTGCTTCTACAGGTGCAGTTGCTACACTGTTTGAGTCGCGAGGAGAAAGACAGAGTCGATCCATGTCGATCCTATGTGAGCCAAACTGGATGAGAAAGGGCAAGGTGGCCCATCATGACCCACCCGGTTCCGCAACTCGCGTCCAGGCACGAGCAGATCCGAATCATCAGGATGCATTATCGGAGACTGCCCTCATGGAAGCTGCTGGGGTCGTCAGAAGACACTGGTAGACAAAACACCTCAGGCTTTTTCTCTGAGTTGGGTCCTTGTTAAGAAAGTGCCAGCTTTCATCATGAAGTGTTCAATCATTCAGAATGAGAAGTTGGCTCAAGCATGTTTACAGTCAGATCTTCTCTTTGAGAGTCCTGGTGTGATGCCAGAATGGCTCTTGCTTGGCTCCGAGCCAGCAAGCAGCTATCCAGCTATCCTCAGTTACTAAATTGCGCCTCAGTCCGGGAGGTGGTAGATAATGTACCGCAGCTTGTGGCTTGCACAGGGCACTTCTATTCTCCATCGTAAGCATCCCAAAGCAGAATTGCAGAACGTTCTGAATCAATGCAGAAAGTCTCAGAACCCACCCGTTTGATTGTTCCCTTTTAGAAGGTTCAAGTCGGCATGTCCAGAGACACCAGACCTACATTCTCAGGGTTTGGAGCTGCAACAGGCAAAGGGTCGTTCAAATTTAATTAGCCCTGAAGAGCAACTCCAACAAATCGACATCCAGGTGAACCTGCCAACAGATCCCGGTGCGTCCTGGTGCGTGCATTTTGTTTACAGAAACTGCAGATGAGATGCATGCTTCTGAATTCTTCTGATTGGCTGCCCTTGCCGCAAGTGACAAGTGATGGCATGGTGGCAGGGCTATGGCGGTGGCTCGTGGGGCAGCGGCTGGGGTGGCAATGACTGGAAGCGAAAGCGGGATAGCCAGGAACCGAAATGGAAAAGCAATGAGCGCTGTGGCAGCAGGAGTTAAGTCATACTTGTATAGAGCTCGTCAGCAACTTGCGGTTTCAATGGCCTGTCGCTAAAGATGCAAGCAGCTGAACATGAACACGGTTCATTCAGGATGTTTGGGCCATTGAAGACTGAGGCACAAATGCAAGCAGTGCAGGAAGTGGGCCTCTTGCCTGCAGTTTCCGTTCGCATCGATGCTAAAGTTATTTTTTCAACAAAGAAAGCCGGACTCAGGAATCTGAAGGTGAATGGGAAGGCAAAAGCTTTTACTGCGCCCGCTGCTCTGCAAAGTTTGCGGAGCAGGGTCACAAAGAAGACTACCATGAGGAGTGATGACAGGTGTGATCTGTCACGGGACAGGCTGTTTCGGCAGTCCTTTTGTAACGAAGCCCTTTTCGTAAAAATGTAACTGTTGACGGCATTGGCAGCATCAGCTGAAAGTGATATTGCAAGAAGAGCGGTCAGGGGCACGGAGAGGAACAGACAGCGCTTTGTTCTCTGCCTCCATGTGATGCTTGCGAAACTGCAGGATTCTGGCCGGGCCTGTGAGCCTTGGTTAGTGACATACAAGGAGAAGTGGAAGGACCTCATAGAGATGGAATGGCAAGAGGACGGTCTCATCTACAGTGCCAACCGTGATGCTGAAGGAATCTGAACGTAGTGCACCAAACTGTGTTAGCCTATCCCAGCCAGTGCAATTCCTGTCGACGAGCCGCACAGGAGCTACGGGTCGTGGAGGATCGACTTCAGCACTGGCAGCTTGATGGCTTTTGGGTCCGACCAGGGCAGCCTGGGATGGTTTCAAATCAGAGCCGGGACCGATTCGTTTTCACAGACGGGCACAACAGTGATGAGGCTGATGTTCATCCATGTTACAGTAATCCCGGATGCTTGATGATCCTTGTTCTTTTTTCAACAAACCTGCTTGTCCAAGGCCATTGGCCAAGTTGGTGGGACAGGGATTTTGCATCACGGACCTGGAAGCTCGAAAGAGAGGCCTGGCAGAGAAAGCGTAGCATGCCACTGGTAGAGTTGCCTGGGTTTTTGCAGGCAACTTCTTCGGCAAGGCAAAGATTGTTTTCTCGAAGCTGGACATGCCAAGGCATGACCTTGCAGTTGGGGTTGAGTCTGGTAGATTGCTCGGGGTTGCATAAGAGAGAATGCAACGCCTGACGTCAGGCACCAGTTCTCTTCTGGGGATGAAGTCATCGTCTCCTTAGGCAACCCTTTGGACAAGAAGGCGTGGAAGGGTACCTGTGCAGCAGTTCGGGGAGAGTGGGAGAGGCACGCATGATTGGGCTTGGGCTTGAGCCATGGGGTCATGAATGGTACTGTAACGGCGGTAAGATCAGTTGAGGAGGTCCACATGGAATGCTCGTCCTGTCCTACGTGGGGTGTGCGGACTTTTGCCGTTTGTCTCTGTGTGTGGTACATGCCAACCCTGGACTGGTTCCTGGAAAGCTGTGATGTCACTTTCTTTCTTTGGATGCTTTGCCTAGGGGAGATCATAGAGTTCCTCAGCAGCAGCCAATGTCAGTTGGTCAAAAGCAGCTGATGCCATTCAAGAAGTTCCGATACCAGGCTGGGTATGAGCCGCATAGCCATCGTCGCCGACAGCCCTCCATGGACTTTGTCTGGCCGTTGGCGATTGGATTGTGGGGCCAACAAGACAGCATACGAGAGGACAGCCGTCACTAAGTAACGTTGCATGACGGTCGCTATGATCACACACCTACAGACTCTGACTCAACTACAGCTGCCACTACTCCAAGGGATCTGTGTGCCAGGACCAAGTCATCGCTGGGATATGTTACGGGCTCCAAGTACAAGGTGCCCGATATGCGGCGGCTGGTGCTAAACGAGGCAGGCAATTACCGCCTTGCTCTCATTTTGCCTGTGCTCCCATCTTCAGCTGTCTTAGGATCTCCCGGGAAAACAGATTATTTTCTCCTACGTAAAGGTAATGCACCAGACTCCAGAACAAACTCCCACTCTCTCACTTCTTTTGCAAACAGCATGCCGATAAGCAGTTGGTTGTCCGTAAAACGGAGGAGGGCGAGCAGTTTCTGCAGCCTTTGCCTGGTGGTGACTCTGAACCAAGCCATCAGGCTTCTTTGAAGCACATTGGTCCAGTGACGGGGCAATCCAAGAAGCTCTTATTTGTTCGCCCCAGTTGTTGGTGAGCGTGCTTAGCACTAAGGCTGAATTGAACGCCTCTCAGCAGGCGGCCATCCAAGCTGTTGAAGCCTTCAACCTTGGCTTAATTCAAGGACCACCAGGTACAGGCGCTTCTTTTGATTTGCTCAATTTGCATGTGAAGAATTAAGAATTGTGCTACGATGCGTGGAGACTGTGGTGCTGACTAGATTCTAATTCATGCGAACCTGTTGCAGAACGAGTCAAGCATCCAGGGTGTCTCGCAATCATCATGAAAGCTCTAGAAAGCCCAGGGCGCTGTTATATATATATAATTATAAATTATATATATACATACGGCATGCGTATATGCATATATAATCAATTGTGTCCCTACCACTTCGTACTCCTAGTCTTTGTAATTCGACCTGCTGTGCTTCGCTTGAGAAGGCAAAACAACAACCACTTGCCAGATGATCAGCGGCATGGTAGAGCGGAGGAAGAAGGAGAATTTCCATTCGAGACATCATTTCATCCGTCCGTTTCAGTTTCATCAAATTTTACAGCCTTCACGTTTCACAGGTTCACGACAAGATCAAACCGAACACAGACACAAAAAACATATATATATATATATTTAGTTGTTTTCAATATATCCCTTTGTGGCCGTACTTGCATCGTATGTGCCCTGTAAGCAGGAGGGCTTGCGATCTTGTGGCGTTTTGGTTGCAGCAGATAGCAACATGTTTGCAAGCATGCCAAGCTGTGAAAGGCAGAGCCCACACCCAGCGCTTAGCCGCATGTCACCGCATAGTGTTTGTGCAGAATGTTATTGAGTATTATTGAGGTAATGTCGCAGTCGACCAGCTACTGTCTGGTCTAATTCGACTGGGAGTGAAGGCCTGGAGCTGCGTGTCGACTGCGGCATTGGAGTTCAAACCTTGTGCAACATATTGACGAAGCCGTTTGTCAGGCACTACGCATCGGCTTCCCCTCGAAGGTAAGTCAAGAGTTGCGGCAGCACACGCTGCTGGCGCAAGCGGAAGAACACCCACTGATCCTTGACTTGTCATAGCTTGAGACGAAGAAATGGCAAGCTCTTATCGTGCAGTTTGAGATGCAGCGGGGGCAAACCCGTGAAACACAGAGGGGCTAAGCTAAGTGCTAAGCTATTTTTGAGCACCGGCCGCATGCACATGTGGGATATTAGAGGGGGTGGTGTGGACTTGGAGGAATGAGATTTGTTGGAAGGCAGTGTCCCCGGTATTGTTGCTACATCATTACATGAAAACCTTGCTCGCATCCCTCAAGCTTGCTGATTATGACAGTTCCAGCTTGTGCGGGTTAAGTGTAGTGGGCTGAATGCCCTGGGGAAGACTCAACTTCAGGAATGCAAAAATTGAAGAGACGCCCGCGTCTCAGTGTCAAAAGTCCAAAACAGCCGTATTGGCAGCGTCGAGAAGGGCTTTGACTCTGAAGTGCTTGAATCTGATGTCCTGAAAAGTTTCCGGAACATGTGCTGTACTGACTCGCTCTAAGTAGTTGCACTTCCAACATTGATTTCATTGCCCTGGGAAAGTCAGACATGGTAGGGCTTTTGCTGAGGCGGGCAGCTCTCGCGCAGGTGAAAGATGCACTGTACTCAGGACTCTGATGCTTAAAGCGAAGGTGATGGAGGTGCTCTCATTGTTAATTATGTGGTTGAACAAGCTTGCGTCGCTTCTCTGTGCTTCAATTCTAAGTGGTGTGTGTACTGTCAGAAGATATTGTAGCCACAGAATGCTATGGACGCGGGCACTTTGCGGCCATACATTTCATCCAGCGGTGCTGCACGGTGTCAGCATTTTTCACGCATTCCGCATTCCAGGACAGCTGAAGGGGAAAGGAAAAGGCTTGGCGCATCGTGATATATCGCTGCATGTGCGAGACATCCAGAAGTTTGAGCAGCAGGCGGGTCTAAGTGCCGTTGACAACCCAGCGGAAAGTTCGGAGCAGCAAGCACAAGCAAGACTGGAAGACAAACCAAAATTCCTTCACATCAGACCTATCCTTGCCCTTCTTTGTATGGCTGTTTTTGTTCTGTGACTCCGTGGTCACTAAGCACGTGAGTGCGTGGATACAGTGCCACTAGAATCACTCCAAATGTATCAAACCCGAGATGCACACCCTGTTGTCGCCCAAGAAAGCCCTTCCAGCCGTGCCTGTGCGAGGTAAGTGATGAGCTGATCGATGCAGCGGAAGTTGTTTGCTCGACACTCATTGGCTGTGGCTGTGATGCCTTGCTGCAGAGCTCCTTCGACACAGTGACTTGGATACATCGGCCACGAATCCAAAGCCAAGTGTGGTTTGATTTGAGTACGACACACCGAAGTTTGGACCACCTTAAGGTCCTAAGGACATCTGTGGAGACCATCGTATATGTGGGAGTCATGAGGCCCTTACCTTATACAATATTCAATATGCCTTACAATGTTGACTGCTATCACCCCCCAAACTCACTGAGAAACGCCATGCTTTCGGAGTGCTAAGGTCATCATCGATGAAGCATCACAAGCCACAGAGCCACGGTGCTTGGTGGCTTTCCAGCTACTTAGCTGAGGGCTGAATACGTAATCGAAGCCCCAGGCTACTGTCTCTACATCACAAAGAATTCGACGTACTGTAGATGAATTGCACATGCTCTTACTGAGGTCACGGCACTATATATACAGTATATAAGTATTATATAGATACATAACTAGTATCAGGAGCACGTTGCACCAGCACGAAGGATAAAGTTCAATAAAGCCAGACAAAGCCTGGACATTGCTTCTGGGTTGGAGGCCTTCGCTCTTAATTAGGTTGGAGGCCATCGCTATTAGGCTCCCTCTCTCTCTCTCTCTCTCGTAAGTTTCAATATATAAAGCGAGACAAAGGCTGGATGTCCAAGAAGCCATTGCAATAACTGAAGACTGAAGCCCGTTCTTACTTTGCCGGTCGATCATATAGGCGCCTCCGCCCAACGTCTGAGGAAAGCAAAGAAGCAATTCATTATGGTGGGTGATCAGAAGCAACTGCCACCAGTCGTGCTATGTCAAGCTGCTGCAGAGAAAGGAGCTTGCTCTTTCTCCAAGCACCACCCCACCAAGTTTTGCACCAGAGCGAGAGTAAGAATTGTGGGTCAACGAAAGCCCAGAAGCTATTGATGGACCGTTGGACATCCCAAGAGATGTGGGCGCAACGTTTGCAGGACTGCAGTATTCCTTGTTTGATCGGCTGCTGAACTCGCCAACGCTCTTCAATGAGGAAATAAACATGTTGCAGGCCCTGTGCTGAGAATAACTTTGGTCTCAATAAACTCAAGCAAGCTTTGAGGTGCAGTACCGCATGCACCCCCTGATCAGAAAGTGGCCGAGCATGCAGTTCTATGGCAACAAGCCGCAGGACACACACTTGTGGATCAGCAAATCGTGGGGTAGGACACGACGGAGTGTACAAGGCTGCTCACACCGCATCACACCCTTTTTTTTCATGTGTGAGATGGCCGAGCATGTCATGAACGTTAGCTTCAGTTGCTGAGATTGGCACTGAACGTCAGCGGACACTTGTTTGGGCTGATGGCAAAACGAATCAGGCTACCGTTGCGCTCAGAGTTTTCGGATAGGCTTCGCTTGAGCCCATAAGATAGGACTGTGCCATTGATAGGAGGTCTGCGTGTGTGTACAACAAGCCCCTGAGTCGAATGCGATGTGCTTCAGTTGCAGGATGGCCTGTGCAGCCAGTCATTTGCTTCAAGCCTCATGAGCCAGCCATTCCTCTCACAGCATTTTGGATGCACTTCGGAAGAAAGGCACGGCTCAATCCTCATCCCGAGCCCACCTGACCCAAGCTTGGGCCCGGTTTGACCCAAAGTCTCACGGCCTTGAGAAGCACTGCATGGATGCCCAGTTGCTGAGGTCCTATCGACGGAAAACGCCGATCCTCTTCCTTGACACATCATCCACTTCGGTCACTTGTATCAGTTCAAAGGGTGGGGTGTAAGGTCCTGGTACTGTATCCATATAGAACCAGAGATAAAGTGTATTAAATCATGATATACTACAGTATATATTATGTTATATAAACTACAGGTAATATAATGTAATCAATATCCATTTGAAGTTGTCCATGCACATGGTCTTTTGTCAGCGGTCGCTATCCAGAAAGGCCGATTTCTTGGCAGCTTTTGGTGGAAATGTGAGCTTCGAGAACTTTGAGAGCCAAAACAACGAAGGGAGTCTTGATGGCAAGTCCAATGGCAAGCGATGGCACATTGACGGGCAGATTGCAAAGTCACGAGGATTATGAGGTCTATAGAGAAGCAAAACATTTGCAGAATTCGCAGCTAAGGAGCAAGTACAACCTTTTGGAAGTTGAACTGGTGAAGGTCGTGTTGAAGAAACTGATGCAGGCGGCTTCCCCCTTGCTGCAAGTACATGCGCACTATAAGCATACTTGCACTCAAAGAGACAGGGTCTTGCCTACTAAGGCCTACTACTTGACGGAGTTTGGTTATATAGCTTGTTATGCATTCGTGTTGGTACTTGTGCTCGAAAGCTGCATGGAAGCAGATCACTAGACAGTAGAAGGCCAAGCGGCCAGACCATGAAGGCGCATGAAGGCTTGAGCAAAGAGAGCTGGCCCGGAAAGAAACAACGCCAGACCAAAACATTTCAAAACCATATCCGTGCATATTTATGTTGCCCTTGACGAGGGTTGATGAGTATCGCTCCCTTCAAGACTGATGACATCCGCTGACATTGCGCCCCCCGGCTTGATCATGCACGCCGCTACTCATCTCAGACCACCCCGCACACAAACGCACGACACACACACAAGTAGAAATCGTTGCCACTGAGTGAAAGAGGTTCCAAAACATCACATTGACAGCCCAAGCAACCACCAGCCAACTCCTGGCAACACTTGGCAATGGAATCGTCTTCGCAGCTGATGCACACTTTGTCCGGGAACATGCTGGATGAGTCAGAGGAGGGAGGGCCATGAATCAGGTGAAAGAGATTTTGGCCATCAAAGATCCTGACCACTTGCATTGAAGCAACAAGAATGAGATCTATTGGCATTGGATCACCAATCTTCTTGGTGTGGGAACTGTGACTGACACACTTGGCGGTCTTCGCGACAGGAGCTTGAGGTTTGCTGTAACTTGGCCTTCCTTTAGTCCAGCTTTGAGCTCGACTCCAGACATCCTGAAACCATCTTTGCAAGGCATTTGCTTGGACTCTCTTTGCGCTCAGCCAGTAGCTGCGCTTCTGACACCCACCGGTGACAACTCTTGCTGCAGCTTGGCTGAATATTCAAAACGGAAGTGGAAGTCCAACGGGAAATTCTTTAGCAACCACATAAGTTTTGCGAATGTGCCGCTAAAGTCCAGGTTCCCAGCTTGAGGCCCCCCAACATTCCCCAAGCTGCATCACCCTGTTTTGGTAGCTGGCACGAGGATTGGGTTGAGTTGTGCCTGACTCTATTCATAGTCTATTCTAAGCCTCCGCCGCCGGACTTAGGATACTGACGGATACTGTTTGTCGCATAGATGCCGCAAGTGACCCTGAGTATATGGCTGTGGAAACTCTCAACCTTTTTGCTCTAGCTCATCTAGTTACAACCTTGAGGCCCGCATTACATGCATGCGGCCTGCGCGGAGCGGCTGAGACCCAGGCTCACAGGGTCCAGGGTCAACTGTTAACCTGAACTGTAATAACGAAAGTCTGAAAGGCAAGCGGAACTTGGATATTTGGTGGTTTCGGTTGGGGTCGCAACAAGCGCTCGCATTCCGGCTTGAGATCTGGAATCCAAGTTCAGCATGTGCTAGAAACACCGGATATCATTGGATAGCATTTATTTGCCAACTTCTGCTAGCAGTACGAGAAGTTATCAGGAAAAGATATGACAATTTTGGTTTAATTATTCATTGCAAGCTGCAAGCTTCTTCCGCCGACAGGCGCTGTCCAATTTGTCGAAGCCCCTTCGCGACGCTGTCGACACCAATCAGCAAAGAAACCCTCCAGGATGGAAACCGGGCTAATTAATCTTATGAGTCTATGAGCTTTTGATGGTTTTGAGCGTTGAGGGTACAGACTTGGAAGAAACTTCTTCTTTATGTGCCCACATCCTGCCACATGCACATCCGTGTGCATGAAATGTTTGAAGCATCTGCATGGATTTGCTTTCATGGAGCATCCAAATGCTTCCGTATCCAGGAGATGAACCCCCCTGAAATTGTGGCCGGCCTGCGTGCCTCGGCGTGAAGTTGCACACTCATAGACTTTGCTGGCGTGTGTATGTGCTTGGTATATCTTGGTAGGTGTAAACGTGTGCTTGACGTCAGACATCGTCAAACTATGTCAAATGCCAGTGGACTTCTTCCTCTAACAGTTGTTGCGAGCTGGTTGGTTTGGGGCCTACAAGCCGGCAAGCTAGTGCACGCTTGCAGTCCCTCGGTTTCCGTTTGGCATGCTACCTGCTTCGTGGTATCAATTGCCGGCCTGTGTAGATGCTGTACGTGTGAGTGTCTTTATTCTTCGGCTGGATGTGCCTCATAGATGGATTACCATAGTGCGAATCATGGTGAGCTGCTGATCTTTTGGGTCGCAACATCCGCCGTTGAAGGAGTTCTCGCGGGCCAGCACCAATCTGGAGCCCTGGTGCCTGCTCGGGTAGCTGTGCCGTTGCTAGCAGCTTTGCTGCCCATGCGGCAGGGGACCTTGAGAAGTTTCGTGGAGAAGGCGTGAATTCCAGCCCAGGGCTTCCCATAGTCATAGTCAGTGGCATGGTCACCAAAAGAGCGATTTATGACATGGGCGATGTCATCCTATATTCTGCATCCAGGTGAATCACAAATAAATTGAACCATGTTGAAACATGCCGGAACCAGATGCCTGCACCTGTGATTTTGAGATGCTGCACCTGTGATTCTCGCACCTGTGCTAGGAGATGGTCAAAGGAACCGATGCCTTAGACACGGAAGGGGTCGAGAATGTGCTGCGCAGCGTGGGCTTGGGCCATGGCAACCTGAGGCCGAGCCTCAAGGACTCAAGGAAGGAGCCCCCAACAAGGAGCAACATGCAAAGTCACTCATGAAGCCACACGAATTCTGAGGTGAACCTGCCATCATTGCAGATTTCGCACCGTTCCCCACAGCTTGGGTTCCATCCGGTTGATCAACATGTACTTAAACTGTCAGGCACATCGCGCGCAACTACACCCCGCAATTGCGCCTTTTTCGGCGCAGCCGCTGGCTGGCCCTGAAGTTGGCTGGTGTTGGGGGCCTAGGCTGAAAAGCAATGTGTCTTTTAGCCGGAAGGGAAACCAAACAGCTCATTCTGAGCTCACCTCCCTCCCTCCCTCCCTTTTCCTCTCCCTCTCTCTTTGCAATAGTCAGTACGCATAAAAATTCTTATAGTACAGAACTTGCAGTTTGCACCCGCTTGTAAAGGTTCACATGCTGCTGGGCAAACCATGGCGACCTTGGTAAGTTGTAGTTTGGTTTATGTGGGATGCCACTGCCACTGTCGCTTCAAGTGAAGATGGCCCGGCTCGACACTCAGGCCACCGGGGCAGCAACTCGGCCGCAGACCGAGAAGATGCTGTCCAATGGGTTGCAAGGTCGTGCCATTCCTTCTTCCGGGCGGCTAAGCTCGGGCGTACCTTTCTCTTAACATCCCTGGAAATTTGCATGCTCACATATTTTCACAGCATGACCCGACCTCCGGTCCTCAATCCTTGGATACCTCAGCAATACCTTGGAAAACATCTTGCACCAAGGCTTTGCATGTGGGCTGCTGTGGCATGGCCTCTGGGATGCTCTTGGGATGTTTGGGCGCTTTGCCTCGGCTCAGGCTACGTGTGGCAAACTGAATGCCCTGAAATGCGTGGTTGTCAACATTTGCCCAGCTGCCAACAGCTAGCAGCTAGCTAGCATAACTAATCAAACTGAACTTTAATGCTGTTTTTTCCACATATTGCTCAAATGGTTCTTGCCTGCTCACTTTGCGGTGGCCCAGCTTTAAGCTTGAAGGCTTCGACAAGTGCGTCACATTGACGGTCCTGGGCTTAGTTGCTTTGCCGTTGTGGCTTTGCTTCTCAATTGCACACTCAGCAGGGGCCATTGTACACTTTTAACGTGTACTTGTAGCCAAGATCTCCACGATCTGGACTCGTGGCAAGCTTTGTCTCCCGGTGGCAGTCGCAGTCAGGTCTTCAAAGGCAGAAAAGCTGTTCATGGCTGCCATCACCCATATATAAAAGAGTATAAACGGGGCATTGCAGGACCTTTGTACCAAGCTTTAGTCTGAGTTTTCTTTTTCTCCCGTCAGCGGACGGATTTTTGTCAGGGTGCTCTATGTCGTCTCTGCTATCTTTGTAGAGCTCTTGCTCCTTAGCATTCGCGATCCTCGATGGGCAACTTGTTTTGAAGAGTTGTGATGCCCCCTTTGGGGGAGCACAAGTCTGAGTTCGCTTTCTCCCGAATTTAAGTGCCGGGCCTTGGCTCACCATGCCTTTGCGCCATAGGCATTGGCCAGGTCCTTTGCATTATGTAACTTATACTACACACACAGAGCAGTGCCAGGTGCCAAACAACCGGCTGACAACCACCAACCTTGGGTTCTTGCAAAGGAACTCGTTTGTCAGATCATTCAGACGACACGATGCAGTGCTGTGCATACAATGCTCAGGTGAAGCGTGGACTCCGGTATGGTGCTCTTGTGGGCGCAGTGGTGGGCTGGCTTCGTGCGCTTGCTGTTGTCGACCCAGACGCCCGGTGATTCCAGTATGATCCACCACGTTTATGTCAAACATTACGCGCCTCCAAAGTAGAGTAGCGATCCAGAGATCTTTCCCCGAATTGGATTCGGGATTCGTTTCTTGGGATTCGTCATCCTTCGCGAACCCTATTTTGGGATTCGGCCGTTCTGAATTTCCTTTCTTTCCTTTCGCGAGCTTTTGCTGACCCTGTGCAGCTTGAAAAGGGCTTTGTTCCTTTTCTATCCCCCTTCGTACTGCCATACTGAAATCCTTGACCTAGACCTCAATGTTTCAGTATAAATCAAAAGAGGACGTCAGGTAGGTGCCAGGAATTTACAAAAGGCAAATGATGCAAATGGAGGTTTGAAACATCCTGGTGCCCAAGGTAGTAGAGACGATGTAGAGACGTAGGTGCCAGGACTTCCAAAACACGTTAGACTACAGGATTTTACAAAAGTATTGGCCTCCACTGAACTGCAATTGCAAGCACCTCTCAACCAGTCCTCCTTCAATGGTTTGTCCGCCAAGCCATGAACCTTCGATTCGCCTGAATGCTCCTGCATGCGATGGCAGGGAAGCGAAATGCCGTTGCAAAATTTGCAAGTCCGTCCGGTAGATACTGTAGGCTCCTGGAAAGGCTTATTCAACTAGGACACCCCCCTTGCTTACGCCATACTGAAAACATAGGGGTTTGACGTGACGTGACCATTGGAAGTCAGGTAGGGGCCTGGAGTCTACAAAAGAAAATTGAGAAGTTCCTCATGACCCTGCTCTGCACAAGTGGTTTCTCTCTCTCTCTCTCTCTCTCTTCCTGCATATGAAATTTCAATCGTTCTAAACATGGCCTCCCGCATCAATTTCTTGATCTGCTCCAGCCGGGAAGTCTGCTCAGCTTCCAAAGCCTGCAGCGACACTGTAGGAGAAAATCCAAACCACAAAACTGGTGTTTTCTAAATTGCTTCTTTTGCACCTTGATACCCAGGATTTAACTAAGGATATGACCAGCCCGGTCTCATTGTTTTTTCCGTGATTCCAAACCCTCTGGGGCACGTGGGTTTCGTAGGACTTTACTAAAACCCCAAAAAAACCTAGGGTACCACTGAAAAACTAGAAAGTCACCTTGGTTCGGTAGGATTTTAGTATGTAAAATCCTGGGGATCTACCCTTGGTGTCAGTACCAAGGGGGATCTTTTCTGCCGACCCTTTATTTACAGATTTTACAGCTGGTCAGCTTGACGTGGGCGGTTTTTAAACACAGTGAGCTTCTTGATTTGGGATTCGGATTCGGCGTCTGGGCTGATCTTCGGATCACGCCTCCCAAAGTGCATTGTTTGTTTTTTCAACATTTTTTAACGGTTTTCATTCACTTTGTGTTAGCAGGATAACGTCGCAGAATGCAAAAGTGTTGAGGAGCTTCACAAGCAGTTTTTCGTATTTAGATGTAGTTCTACAATATAATTGTTTTATGTTTGCATATAATTTCATTGTCTTCTCTCCTGGGCTCGTAGACGTAGCCATTCAAAAGAAGCCGAGGATCGCCACAGCTTCAGACGCGTCTTCCAGCCACCCAACTGCAAAGGCATATTTTTGGTGTTGTTCTCAGCTGTAGGCACATCTGGGTCTTTGTGCTTTAAGCCAGGCAGCAGCCATGCTGCGACATGCTGCACTGAGGATGGGTGTTTCTGGACAGACGACTTGGCCCAGGCATTGGCGGATTATGGAGATCGGCCCAGTGGAGAAAGTGAACATTTTCGCTCCGCATGGGCCACGGTAACCTTGGATGTGCTGTGGTGCTCCGAGTTGCCGCACAAACAATGTGCGGCCAGCCTAGCCACCCCAGCCCTAGCTACAAAGAAGCTGATGTTTCGACTGATGTGGCCGTCTCGCCACTGCGCCTCGCTTTGAACTGGCGACTGAAAAGTGACGTGGCCGGCCCAAGCTTGGCAAGAACCTGTCGCGAGTAGTGGGACATTGAGGTCTCATCATTCTCCTTTTTTTTACATGTTCAGTGCACATATTTGAACATTTGACCATTTGCCTCTGGTAGCTCTAGTGACTCTAGTGCCGAATGCCCCCACCTTGTCATTGTAGACTTGCAAGATCTTATTAGCATCATAAAGTTCTTTCTTCATGACCAGGCGGGTGAGGAGGACATCGGCGTCATTTCGCCCTACACTGCGCAGGTGGCGGTCCTTTGTCAGTCGCTTGAATGAAGGGAGTTTCAATCAGGATGATGCAGAGTGCGGGGGAGAGTTTTCCAGCAGTCCCTGTTCTAGAAGTTGATGGCTTCCATCGGGCCAGGTGACTCAGATCAAGTCAGCCCTGGAAACAGCAAGGATCAAACCACAGGACGATTGGATGAATTGAGCTTTGTGATCAGGTGACCTCAAGTTGACCAATTCACTTTAACAGAAAAGGACATCATGGACTCACTCATCGGGCCAGTGATACCAGGGTTACCAGCTGCGGCGTTCTCCAGCAATTTTAGCAAGTCAAGACATTCGCGATGTGATACCCCACAGGACCCTGATGCTCAGAGCTCGAAGGTGTTGGAGGTGAAGACTGTGGATGGCTACCAGGGCCGTGAGAAAGAGGTGGCAAGCCAGGGCTACACAACTTTATAAGGTAGTCGCGCCAAATAACCTGTTGTCAACCAAACATCGCTGAAAGAAACGTCTCTAGAGACAACATGCATATTTATCTTTGCTGACTAGAACTTGATGACCATGAACTGCTCTATGCCCGTTGGATTCCTGCACGGGTGGTGGCAACCATGATCAACCAAAGGCAGCTGTGCCAGGTCATCATCCTGTCTTGCGTGCGAACTCAAGGCTGCTTGGCATTGATGTCCTCAATCTAGGGCCAATGCTATTGCATGTTGTTTAGAGGGGAAGCAAGGCCACGTTGATACTTTTGGCTGATTGATAAAAAATTGTAAGCATTTTGGAATTGGTTTTGGATGGTTTGGGTGATTGCCAGACTGCCGTGCTGTCGGCGTGGCCTCGTGTAAAACAGAAAGCAAAGGCAAGGCCATTTTCGACACTTGGTTTGGACAGATGTTCTGAAGTTTTTAAAAAGCGTGAGTGTTTCTTGGAAATAAAGCAGCTGAGTGTTTCCCACAAAGAATGGTAGACTGCAGACCTGCCTGGAGTATAACTTCCTGGACCAAGATCGCACCGAGGCTTGGGATTTCTGACGGACCATCGGAGATTGAATGTGGCCATTACCAGGGCAAAGTCTTTCCTGGTGCCTCAGCTGCCTTAGAATGTGCAATCGGATGTTCGCCCTGAAAGTGTTTTGGGCTGGGCGACCCAAGTGTGCCAAAGACGTGGTGGATTTGCTGAAACGAGCAAGTTTCAGAGTGCCTTCCTTTTAACTCCTGTTTGCATTTGTTTGCAGCCATTTAAGCTTCATTGTGGGTGGAAGTGTCACGTCATGGAGATCTCTGAGTTGCTTCAACAGCTGGGGTCCGTGGGCTCCATGCCTGAGCTGCTCGACCAGTTGAAGGAACTGCCTCCAGAGCTGCTTGAAGCACTCCAGATGCGAATGGGGGAGGCAGCGCTGCAGCCACCGCCAGAACGAGCAGCGCCAAGTGTCAAAGACGTCAGAAAGGCTGCAGAGGAACAAGCCCCAGCGATTTACTCTGAGGTTCTAGCCAGCTATTGTCATCCTGATGCCATTTGTCACTATGACAATTTACCAGAGGAAGAGCGAGGGAAGCTATTGAAAGCTCTGAGAATCACAGTTGAAGAGAATTTCCAACATATTACTCATCAACTCATGATACAAGGGCTTTCAAACAAGGTCAGTGCTAGGGCTTCAGAGCAAGTCAGAGACTCTCCACTCGTGAGAGCTTTGAGGTTGGTGAATAAGTCGGAGGTTCTCCAGCTGGAAGCCATAGAAGCCGTGACGGCCTCTTTGGGCAATTGGGGTCGGAAGATGCCGAGAGACATCCATGTCATGCAACACATGATGAGCTACAAGGACCATCTATCAAATTTTGAGCGCGGGAACGATGGTAGCTTTAAGATGCTGCGAACACTGCAGACGAATTCCACACTGATCAAGCCTGAAGCTGCAACTGGTGAACCCAGGAACTGGCATCAGCTGCAGCCTGTTGCGATCAATGCCTTGCGTCTCTTTGGAGTGGCCAGTGGAAAAGTGTTGGTGGGAAAGCTGCTGGTACCGCCTATGGTCACAGTCGGCATCACCACCTTGTTGCAGGACGAGTGGGGGGAGGTTGTGCAGTTGGGTCTCTACAATCAGCTGCCAGGCGGTGTCAGCGGCCATCAAGCGCAAGAGCTGGCTGAGAAACGGTTCCCCACAGGTGCCACCCTCCGAATCGCCGAGCCTTTCCTGAAGATCTTTCGAGATGGTAAGCAGGGAATTCGAGTGGACAGTCCTCATGACATTCGCATTGCCGCCTCCGGAAGTGTCCAGGACCTCTCCCAATGCCGGGAGAGTGGCAATGAACTCTATAAGATGGGGCAGTTTGAGGCAGCATTAGCAGAGTATTGGCAAGGTCTCCATACTTGTGAGGAGGTTGCCGTTTTGCTGTCCAACCGCGCCCAGGCACATCTAAAGCAAAAGTGCTGGGCGGAGGCTCTTGGAGATAGTGCTGCTGGTTTGCTGCTGTGCCCCCACGGAGCGAAGCACCAAGCAAGATATGCTTCTCATTGGTGATTTCGGCAATTTTTTTTTGGTGCCGTCCATTCCACCACTCAAAATGGCATCACCCATGCCTCCTCCCTACATTGCAGCACCTGCCTCTCAAAGATATTCTTGTCGGAACTGCTATTTGCTTTATAATCAGTTATAGACATAGAGCATTCCGCTAGCGTTGGCTCAACAATGCCAAACAATCAAAATCAATTCATATAGTTTCATATATAATATATGAAATTATATATATACACCTATATATATATATTGGTTTACTGGTGACCAGGTACTTGCCCTTGAGGGCCTTGGCTTTCCTGACTTGGCCCAACGAGCTCGGAGCGCCTTCTCCAACGTCACAGGGCCGGCTGAGCAGTTGGTGCAAAAGACTCGGGCGGTGGTGCAGATTACATTGAAGGTGCACAGAACCAGCGTCAGGTCTGAAGAGAGCACCACCAATCATGCAAGTCTCAAGGAAAAGGGCAACATGGCTTTTCGACAGGGGCACTACTCTGAGGCGGGATTAGGCTGCTGTTTGTCACGTTTCGCGGACAGGGCGATGGCAGCGTTTTGGTCTTGATGTGTGAGTTTAGGGCCGGGAGTTTGAGATTTGTTTTTGCCAGCGACCATGATCAATCCATGTAGCACACAGCCATCCCCCGAACGGACGCTCGGCACAGAGCACCACAACAAACTAAACGCTCCTATATATATATATATGAGCGTCGTTCAAAAACCCACCTCTTCCTTGTTAGTAATCGAATTTCAAAGGCTGATTTCGATTGTGCTCTCACTGCAGTCGCGAAAGGTTCGCGAAGGTCCTGCGAAAGGTCTGCGCAAGTCATGTTGGTGACCTGGCCACGCTGCAAGAACAATTGCTCTTCAGACTTCCGATTGCTTTTCCCGGGTTGGGAAAAAGCAAATTGGAAATCTGAACCATTTTGCTTTTTCCCGGCCCGGGAAAAAGCAAATTGGAAGTCTGAGCCTTTTGCATTTTCCAGGCCTGGGAAAAAACAAATTGGAAGTCCGAACCATTTTGCTTTTTCCCGGCCCGTGAAAAAGCAACTTGGAAGTCTGAGCAAACTGGCCTGACTGAGCCGTCTCTTGTTCATGCAGGGCTGCGGCCAACCAAAAACACGCCAAAATGAAAATGGCTTGGCTGGAAGTCTTGACCATTTTGCTTTTTCCTGGCCTGGGAAAAAGCTTTTTGAATGTCTAGACCATTTTGCTTTTTCCCAGCCCGGGAAAAAGCAAATTGGAAGTCTGAACCATTTTGCTTTTTCAAATTGGACATCCAGGTTGCTTTTGGAAAGCCTGAAAAAAGAAAGTTTTTCAGAGAGCTGTGGCCTAATGGATAAGGCGCCAAGCTCAGAAGCAGAAGGTCGTGGGCTCCAATCTCACAGGCGCTGCTTGTTTCCAGGCCGGAGAAGGCAATTTCCTCCCACAGATTGCTTTCCAAATTGGAAGGAGTTTCATTTTTCTTTTTCCCGAGCCGGGAAAAAGCAAATTGGAAGTCTGAACCATTTTGCGTTTTCCCGGCCCGGGAAAAAGCAAATTGGAAGTCTGAACCATTTTGCTTTTTCCCGGCCCCGGAAAAAGCAAATTGGAAGTCTGAGCCATTTTGCTTTTTCCCGGGTTGGGAAAAAGCAAATTCGAAGTCTGAAAAAGCAAATTGTAAGTCTGGCTTTTTCCCGGCCCGCAAAAAAATTGGAAGCCTGAACCATTTTGCTTTTTCCCGGCCCGGGAAAAAGCAAATTGGAAGTCTGAGCCTTTTGCTTGTTCCCGGCCCGGGAAAAAGAAAAATAGGAAGTCTGAGCCTTTTGCTTTTTCCAGGCCCGGGAAAAAGCAAATTGCCGGCCCGGGAAAAAGCAAATTGGAAGTCTGCCCGGGAAAATTGGAAGTCTGCCCGGGAAAAAGCAAATTGGAAGTCTGAGCCATTTTGCTTTTTCCCGGCCTGGGAAAAAGTAAATTGGAAGTCTGAGCCTTTTGCTTTTTCCCGGGCCCAGGAAAAAGCAAATTGGTTGCTTTTTCCCGACCCTTGGAAAATTCTTTGTCGTGGGAAACTGCGCAAGTATGGCGAAAGGTTCGCATTGTGGACGCGAAAGACGACAGGGCCAAACCCCACCCGACCTCAGACTTCCAATTTGCTTTTTCCAGGGCTGGCTCAGACTTCCAATTTGCTGTTTCCCGGGCGAAGAAAAAGCAAAACGGTTCAGACACCCAATTTGCTTTTTCCGGGCCTGGAAAAAGCAAAAGGCTCAGACTTCCAATTTGCTAAAATTGTTCAGACTTCCAATTTGCTTTTTCCCGGGCCTGGAAAAAGCAAAGGGCTCAGACTTCCAATCTTCCAATTTGCTTTTTCCCGGGCCGGGAAAAAGCAAAATGGTTCAGGCTTCCAATCTGCTTTTTCCCGGGCCGGGAAAAAGCAAAGTGGTTGAGACATCCAATTTGCTTTTTTTCCCGGGCCTGGAAAAAGCAAAAGGCTCAGACTTCCATTTTGCTTTTTCCCGGCCCGGGAAAAAGCAAAATGGTTCAGACATCCAATTTGCTTTTTCCCGGGCCTGGAAAAAGCAAAAGGCTCAGACTTCCAATTTGGAAAAAGCAAAATGGCTCAGACATCCAATTTGCTTTTTCCCGGGCCGGCAAAAAGCAAAATGGCCCAGACTTCCAATTTCCCGGGCTGGGTAAAAGCAAAATGGCTCAGACTTCCAATTTTGCTTTTTCCAGGCCCGGGAAAAAGCAAATTGGAAGTTTGAGCCGGAAAAGCAAATTGGACATCCAGCTTGCTTTTGCAAAGCCTGAAAAAAGCAATTATTTCAGAGAGCTGTGGTCTGTGTGGTCTAATGGATAAGGCGCTAGACTCATAAGCAGAAGGTCGTGGGCTCAAGCCTCGCAGGCGCTGCTTGTTTCCATGGAAGTCTGAACCATTTTGCTTTTTCCCGGGTTGGGAAAAAGCAAATTCGAAGTCTGAACCATTTTGCTTTTTCCCGGCCCGGGAAAAAGCAAATTGGAAGTCTGAACCATTTTGCTTTTTCCCGGCCCGGCAAAAAGCAAATTCGAAGTCTGAACCATTTTGCTTTTTCCCGGCCCGGGAAAAGCAAATTGGAAGTCTGAGCAAACTGGCCTGACTGACCAACCAAAAACACACCAACATGAACATGTCTTGGTTCGCTGGCTTCCTGTTCCTCAGCAACCAATGTGTCAGTGATCAGAGGACACAAGACGTGCCAGGGCAACTATCCTTGAAAGCCTCTAGCCCCAACGAAAAACCATTTTCGCCGACAGTGGTAAAACCCCACGCGCGAAAGCTTGCGAAAGCTTCGCGAAGGTCCTGCGAAAGGCCTGGAAAAAATGAAAGGACTTTTGAACAACCCCCATATACTAATCGCGATTTAATGTGTGTTAAGTACGGCTTGGAACGTTAGACCATCCACAGCGCATCACAACGCAAAGCGCAAGAACACTGTAATTGTTTCTGGCAGACAAAACATACCCAAAGTGAATCAAATTCGAACCAACATCGATAAAACACATAATTTCAGATAATTACTCTCCCCAAAAATATCCACTTCCCACGAAGCAGACAAAATCACGTCAACCTTTAAATACGTTACGCTCTCCGCCAGCAGGCCGAAAGGTTTTATGGCAAAAGCGTCAGGGGTCGGCATCACCGGAAAAGGTTCCTATACCGGTAGACCGCTTTCCTCAGTGGCGGCAGGGTGTATGTGCGGCGGTTGGAAACTGGGATCCCGAACCTGGCACAAGGCTGGAAGGTCGAAACTGTCGAACTGTGTGACGAGCTGGCTCAAGTCTAGTGTGACGTGAGAACTATCGAAGAGATCGTTCGGGTTAGGGCTCCACCAGCTGGTGCAGGGTTCCGGTTCCAGTGACGTAACAGCTCAAGCAGGAGTACCAGGGCTAGCCGCGCGACCCAGTCTAAACAACATAGGCGGCAGTGCATTCATCCCCACTCGGATGGCGCTTTCAGATTTGTTGTATGTGTTTTTTGGCTTTCACACCACCAGGCAGCTGCATTCTACACGAAATCATTGGAAGGTCATCCAGCTGCTGAAGAAGTGGCGCGTGACTGTTGAAACTTCAAACGTTGTTAGCTAGTGTCGGTGTTGAAGACACCTGGCCTGGAACGCACCCTGTGTATTGCCTTGGTATGTGTCGAGAAATGTTGTTTGTGATTCGTTGTCTACAGCAACTATTCAAAGCTGTTGTTTTGAGTTCCTGAGACCCTAGTCATTGTTTAATAACTGAATCCGTTGAGCAAGCCCTTTGAGGCAAATCTCCTTCGCAATGTGGCATTGTCTTCCATCCGTGCTGGACTTCTTCATGATGCTTTGGCAGCAGCCGCTGCGAGCCTGAGGTTGCAATTCCATTCGACGCTGGGAAACCAAAGCTAAGCATTTTTTCCATTACATAATATATTTTCTCACACACACAAACACACACTCTCTCTCTCTCTCTCCCCTGATAGTTGGAAACTTGCGGCTTGGGGGTTGCAGGAAAGCCGTTTATCACCTTGCTCATGCACTGGCACTCCTGGGTGAACTCGATTTGTCGGAGGAAGTGCTTGAAAACACAGAGACTTTGACGACGTTGACTCAGCTCGCGAAAGAAGTGGCTACTACCAAGGACAGTGGCGATAAGTCCGGAACATCGCTAAAATCATGCTAAAACCAGATGTCAAACATTCACCTATTTACTAACCCTTGAAGGAATACATCCGCGGCAAGTACTCGAAAGATTTGGTGGCAGCTGCTGGTGCAAAGCACTTTTGGCCAGGGAAGTTCATTGTAGACTGGGCATCTGATGCCATTGCCGTCGAACGAGTCGAAGGCAAAGGCAGAGGAGTGGGTCCTTTTCAGCTTGACCTTTTGAATCCAGACTCTGTGGCTTGCGACGCCATGAAAACCGTCAATTCCGCAAATGTCCACCTCATCGAACTGACGTTGTGACATGTTGTGACCACAAATGCCCTTGTGATTTGATAGACGCGTGGTCAATGGCCTCTTTGTCAGGACTTCGGTCGCTTCGCCACATCGACTTTGGGGACACCTTGATCCTCCAGCGGCCCCGGGGATCTGTGTCGACTGATGCCACAAGTGAGCTGCTGACTTCCACAAACACCGATTCAGGTAGGTAGGGGGGGAAGCAGGCTTGAATCCAATGCCCCTTCAAACAACAATGGATCTAGCATGATCTAGCACTCCTCTGACCTACGTAGCCTATAAATGGTTAACATGGCCAGGAAGAAGGGGTAGCAACGGGTAGTAATGCATACATGGTAATAATATACTGTAACATGAGCAGTAGATGGTGAACATTCAAGATTCCAGGAAATCCCTACTAGGACAGGCTTCAGTCACCATCATGTGCTAGCCATCCCAAGTGACTGTCAGTTGATGTCAAATCTTCACCCAGGAAGGTGGCGTATGTCAAAGACAAGTGAACTATGTATGTGTACGTGCTGTTATCTTATCCTAAATTGGCTGACCTCATGGATCTCACCACTTGTTTAAATCTCGTTTCAGTTTGTTTGATCTCATTTTGGCACTTTGATGGGAGGCCAGCCCCTGCTGGCACCCACCGGCTCAACCGTTTGTGCTGCAAAAATATGGGGAGCGATTACATTCGTCTTTATTGTACAATGTCCTATTTGGCTACCTCCTATCTTATCCAATCATTTGCATTCGCGATCTACGCGCCCCCTCCTTTTCCGCGGATATAGTAGAAGTAGAAAGTAGAAAATGTATATACGGTATATGTATTTTTAAACGAAGTATCTCCATTGTAGCAATATCCTGTTTGGCAGGCACGAATGTATCATCGCACTTTATCCTGTAGCCGCCAGCATTCTTTAAAGGGATGTTCATTGATCGGCGCGTATTCCAAGTTATTGTAGGTGCAACGACCGGCAAACCTAGTGATTTGCATGGCGATGAACGATGAGCGGATTAGTGTCTTAACTTTTCAACATATTCCACAATTTTTCGGATTATGTCGGCAGCGTCTGGGAGCACTTGGCCGCTAGGAACACCAGAGCAATGTTTGATCTGAACCCCAGAGCCGGCATTGGGATAACGGGAACTGTACTTTGTTTTTGGAGTGATTCAACAAGACAGCAAAGAATCCTTGCTTGAAGTTGGGCACGTCTTTGAAAGGGGGAAGGGTTGCATTTCCGGAGCATGAATATCCCGTGCCTCAGTTTCCCAATGTTTTTCCCACGCCTGTTTTTCCATGTTTTTCCAACAGGGATACCAGCCGGCGTTGAGCATTTTGTGGAAACCAACCTTCAGGACTCATCACCGATGCAGCTTCCGTGAAGCTCACGTCAAAGCTGACATCCATGGCGAGTAAAGACCAACTATTGGCGCAGGTGCTGTCGAATTTGGATGATGGTAGTGGACTGGAGCGACCCTCGGCCATTGAAACCTTGATGGTAGTCCAGCTCGGGAGCTTTCGCTTCAGCAAGCCCTTTGAGGGCCCTGGGTTGTCTTCGTTGGCAGTTTTAATTCCCCTGGAAGCCCTGCGGGAGGATGGACAGTTGGAGACGATCTATACAACCACTATTAACCATTTATGCAAAAACTTGGGGTGCTAGCTAGCATGTCTAATTTGTGGGAAGACTCATGAAGCACAGTTACTTGAATGTTCCCAATGATGACTTTTCGCACACAAAGTTACTTGGTTCTTGTACAGTTTAAACTACACCGGTGAAAACTAACATTTTCGCAAAAAAATAAAGATGGAACCCACGAACCCGAATGCAAACACGTTCGAAAAACTACATATGTCCAAATGACACTCTTGTGGGACACTCTTCTGGGACACTCTTGTAGGACTCTCTTGTAGGACACTCTTGTGGGTCACTCTTGCAGGAAACTCTTGTGGGACACTCTTGTAGGACACTCTTGTGGGAAACTCTTGTGGGACACTGTTGTGGGACACTCTTGTGGGTCACTTGCAGGACACTCTTGTGGGACACTCTTGTAGGACACTCTTGTGGGATACTCTTGTAGGACACTCTTAAGGGACACTCTTGTGAGACACTCTAGTGGGACACTGTTGCGGGACACTCTTGTGGGACACTCTTGTGTGACACTCTTCCAGCTCCCCAGATACTCCGCGTACTAAAGTTGTACTACAAGGTCGCCAGTTCTCACCTTCCACCTCCACAGATTGCTCCGCGTACGAAAGTTGTACTACAAAGTCGCCAGTTCTCAGCTTCCAGCTCCACAGATTGCTCCGCGTACGAAAGTTGTACTACCAAGTCACCAGTTCTCATCTTCCAGCTCCCCAGATACTCCGCGTACTAAAGTTGTACTACAAAGTCGCCAGTGCTCGCCTGCATTTCGCGCGCTCGACACGCACGATCTCCGCAGAGGGTTGCGCGGGCACCGGACAAATCGCACTCTCGCCTGCATTTCGCGCACTCGACACGCACGATCTCCGCAGAGGGTGGTGCGGGCATCGGACAAATCGCACTCTCGCCTGCATTTCGTGCACTCGACACGCACGATCTCCACAGAGGGTTGCGCGCGCGTGGGACAAATCGCACTCTCGCCTGCACTTCGCGCACTGATCTCCGCAGAGGGTTGCGCGCGCATGGGACAAATCGCACTCTCGCCATTTTGCACACTCGACACGCATGCACGATCTCCGAGGGCTGCGCGTCAAGTCTCCAAAACGAGCGTTTTGTACGAGACTTCCTCAAAAACTCACATGTCAAAGTCTGCAAAACGAGCGTTTCGTACGAGACTTCCTCCAAAAGTCAAGCGGAAACACCCATCGGAGCACACATATCACGCAGCCCTGCCAAGCATTTTCGCGATTCCACGCCAATCCCAATGTGACAGCGACATTCACCTCTACCACAACTCACCCCCTCACGATTCCCTGCGCCTGCCACGAATCTTTCCGCGTCCACACGTCTAACGCGCACAAAGTACTGCGCCTGCCACGAAATGTCACCTCCGTCACACCTCGCAACCTCACGATTCCCTGCGCCTGCCATGAAAATCGCACTTCCACGCCTCAAAACCCGCACAAAGTCCTGCGCCTGCCACGAAAAGTGACAATATCATCTCATGTGAGCTTCAATAAAATTTGCACCACACCACACGTTTGGAATGATTTCGACCCGTTCTGAGCACACTTCCATCCACCAAAATCGCCATTGCAGCTGAGACTTGTCACGAAAACCGAGCTTCGATGCCACACCCTGAAACGCAAATCCCAATGGCTCGGCCACATCCAACACCCCAAAAACACGACTCTCCAAACGCTAATCCCAATGCAACTGCACAGGAATCTGCGGATCTCACAAAACGCTGCGCCTGTGCATCACGTTTCTTGCGCGACATGTCATTGTCATGCAAATCACAATGGAATAGCGGCGCAGCCTGACACGTGACACATCCATGCAAAGTCACTTGCAAAAGCTTCCCCCAATGGCAGCGAATTTGAGACGCGACGACGACGACAAACGACGACAGACGACGAGACGACGCAAGCCAACCCCCAGACCCCCAACTATAAACGGGAACCTTTGTTATGCGTTCGGGAAAAAACGATTCTTTTTTGCATATGTGCATATGTTAGTCTATAGTTTCCGAGCGGACACCGTTGAGACTAGACCAAATTCAGATGTGCCATGGTGGGCCCTACGGGTACTTGGCATGGTCCATGTTAGCCTCCACCGGGGTATGTTGACCTCTTTTATAGTAAGATTCCATGTTCAGGAGGCCCCTAGAGGTATGTGACATGGTCCATGTTAGCCTCCACCGGGCCATGTTGATCTCTACCGGCGCGGTCTATGTTAGCCTGCGTTCAGTTTATAGTCAGAGTGCAGTTGGTCCATGTTAGTGTCAAAATCGCTCATAGACTGAGAGTGGGAACGGTCCATGTTAGTGAGGGTCCAGTAAATTGCCAAAAAGGCGCCAATACCGTTTCCCCAGGAAGTCACCGTTTCCAGTCTTCCATGTTATAGCGCACTTGAAATTGACTTCTGGTCTATGTTGTTTTTCCCCGGAGTAGCTGTTGGTGTTTTGATCTCCTTCGCCCTGCCCACCAGATCTTGCCGAGTCCGCCCTCCCCAGACCAAGATGGAAGTGGACAATACCCCGTGCAAGGTTTTTGTTGTCGCTTCCATGTTGGTTCGACACAACTCTGGGAAATCATATATGGAAGTTGAAACTTGAAACAGAAAACAACTCACACGAGAAAGAAGGTAGCATTCATTTTCAGACTAGCTCAGGCGACCTGTTCTAAGTCTAAGTGGACTTCTTCATACAATTGAAAGCCTACAGCCTGCATTCTTCCTCAGAGTCAGGTCAATGAACAAAAATTGGGTTTGAATAGGAATTTTGCCGTATTCGCACTCGCCTACCAAATGTTGCAGGCGTCCAAAAGTGGACATTTTGCAGGATAGTGTGGGAATAGTGAAGGAAGCCCAGAACACGGACCAAACGTGGCCGCAAAGTAAGCAGCTCCAAACTGCATGGGCAGCAAACTGGTATGGAGCAAAAGTTTGAAGTGTGTGCAAGTACCGGTCAAGTTTTGCAGCCTCTTGCTGCGCAGCCCTTTAGGACACCATGGGTGAAGCGGTGCCCTTTGAAGCGGGTTTGTTGGCTCACCTTTCATTCATGCAGCCTTGCGAGTTTTTTCAACTTGTGGCTACTGCGAATTTGTTGGAAAATGCGGACTGTCAGTCCTCTTTGCATACGTAGCTCTTTTAACCTTAGCATTGTCCTTCCAGCATGCTTTGTTCATACTTTGCTTTACTTCATTCTCTCGATACAAATTCTTTTGGTGCCACCCAGTTTAAATATTCAGGGAACCTACTAGTTACTAGTCATAGTATAGAAATTTGTACTTTGCTTTAGGAGGCCCTCAGCAAATCCAAGGACCTGTGACAAGTGTCCACAACTTTTTGGATGCACTGCAGTCCTCGGTCCTTCCCCTTCTTCTTCAGCAAGCAGACTTCTTTCCAAGAGCTGAAAGGGTGGAATTGAGCTATGCCCGCATTCAAGGGGTGGTGAAAGTGAACACCCATGGAAACAGCAAGGAGGCCTTGAGCAACTTGCAGGCTGGCCAATCCACACATCGTGAGTCCCATTTCGACAAACTCATGGGTGGCAGCACAGCACTGTATCCAGCAATTTCTTTGATCAACCATTCCAACGAGCCAAACTGTGTCTTGCTGCCGTTTCTCAAGGATGGAGAACCCCAGGGCCTGGCAGTATGCGCCTTTCGCCCCATCCTGCGAGGAGGGGAGCTTACATTGGCCTACTTGGATGACCCTGATGCAGTCAAAGCAAAATGGGGTATTTCTTGAGGATCAGATTGCGCTTCATCTTCGGATGGTCATGAGACGGGTCGAAGATGAGAAAAGGAGGTTGGAATTTGGCGCGCCATGCTGGTAAAAGGCAGTTGGTCAAACAAAACGGACCGATAGGGAAACCACAGATCTATATCAGTACTGCTGTATATATAACAAATGTATATATATATATTATAATCAAAATCACACATATATATATATATACACTGCCGGCAAAAAGTCTATACTGCAAAAAAAATATTAGATAAAGGGATTGAAAGTAGCTTATGATATTGTTGTATCAATTAGATTATGTTGCGGGCCCCCAGCTAAACACACCTATTCTGCAGCTGAGCTGCTGCGGCTGAGCGCTAAGTTTGCGGTAGACTTGCGCTAGTGTTTGACTTAGGACATGTTCAGAACGTCGGCAGGTTTTGAAAAGTTGCTGGCTAAAGAATGCGCTAGCCGCGCGCCAGCACTGCGCTAGATCCGCACTGGCAAACATTGCCAGATTCCAGCATGGATCCTTCCAAAGCTGACTTGCCACAAGTCTTTTGTTTCAAGCATTGCTTGAGAAGGCACAGAGTTCAGACAGCAGTGGTTCAACTTCCTCGGACAGCAGCTGAAAACGGTGCAGCGCTAGTGACACCTCCCACCTCCCACAACTTGGTACAAGAACTTGTTTGGAAGACATTTCGACCAGAGCCCATATTATATATATATATAAATATGTATACGTACAGTATATATACTATATGATTATGAGATGTTTCAGTTTTGTTGGCATCCACGATTGACCTCTTTGAGGTGGTCATTGGTTGTGGTGAGCTGCTCCGGACCGATCCAGTGCCTGAGAGTGGTTTATCGTACTGGCTGGGCTTGGAACGGGCCACCGGGGCATAGCAGAACAATCGGATCACGCCCTATCTCCTGTTTTTTGCACCTTTTATATAATCATTGTAATCATTGTACATGGTTGCGTGGCTCCTATGTGTCCCTGGTTCAGGTTTGGCGATCCTACATGGACTTTCTGGAGGAGTTCAGGTGGACCCCTTGAGCTGAAAAAAAGGGTGTGACTAGGAGTGACGGCAAGGGGTGGGTGAAGCCTGTCACTGCTAGAGATACTGTGCTGACCGCGACCCTTTTGGATTTAGCACCCACAGATTTCATCCAAAGAAGGAACCTTACAAAATCCCAGCAGCTCCAACTCGGCTTGAAATCCATCCTCTAAGTAGTGTTGGAATCTTGTGGAGACATGGAGGAAGCGCTTGTGCTGCGTTCCGAGCCAAACGCCATGGAAGCCATTCTGGCTCAACCATCGAAGCAAAATCATGCTACAGCAATCATGGACTCCAAGAAGCTTTGGCATGCACACTGCACCGTATTTTTTTTGAAATAAAGATCTCATTCAGGACGAACACTTGCAGACAAGGATATGTTTTCTGCCTTGTCTCGGAAGAGCCCATCGGAAGCAGTAAAGCATGAACATGTCCGACTTGTCCAAGCATACAACTGGTACACTGGTACACCTACTGCTGGCAGTTTCGAACCAACGCCTGGTGAGTCGGGGAATGCTTGTGACCCCACGCCACGGCTACATCCTCTCAAGGCGAGAGGGATTTCTTCGGCTTGCCAAACGAGGAGAAATAGTTGTTTGGGTTCTTGACAGTGGCTCTGTCGCTGCAAGTCCAAGCAATTTCACAGCTTGAACCGGCAGCGTCAATTCAATTGATTCTGACATTTTTTGAAGCATGCAGCATGGACGACCCACTACGTAGTGTTGTTTGCCATGCCCATGCGTGATTGACCAGAATGCCACGAAAGAAGGCCTTGTATAGGTCTTGGATGCTACGAGCTTTCCAAGAGGAAACTTCAAGGTTTTGAGTTGATCATGATCAGTTAAGGTTCTTTGCAGCAGCTCGGCACTGGAGGCGGCCTGGTGTAGATATCGTTCCCTGTCTATTAAACGTGGGATTGGTCCGCTTGCATTGTGGTGTGTGTTTCCTTGATAGTTGATATTGAATGATTTGGTGTTCCGTTGTATGCTAGTGGAGCTTATGTCGAATGTAGATGTAGAATGTAAACTGGTTAGGCACTGCTGGTGGACATATTCCAGCCAAACATCATTCCGCCCGGACGTGATTGCCTTGCCAGGCCATCAGTACTGGGAGCACGTGCCCGGTTGTTTGGAATGCCATCGGTTTGCTGCCAATTTTGCCAAGTAGAGTAGCATTGCTTAGGGCTTAGGCATGCTTGGGTGTGAGGTTGAAAGCAATTACATGTCACAACTAACGGAGGCAGGTGGTACTAGGTCACCTCTTAACATCTCTTAATTCACCTCATATGACATTGCACTCCAAGCGAAAGCAACGGCTTCTGGTATTGTTCGTCTTCAGGTATGGGGTCTTCCATGCCATCAGGAGAAGCTCAAGGCCAAGGCCAAGAGATGGAAGAAGAGACTTCGTTGCGCTTGAGTCCTTTCCAGCTTCTGATGTCCAAAGTGATGTTTTGCCGTAATATGCATTTACGTTATCAAGTCGTTACCATCTTTACTCAGCCAGGCCGCCAAGCCATTCTCTCATCCCACCTTATCACACGGTGGATGTATAGTGGGTGGCAAATTTAGCAGGAGTCTCTTTTTCTAGCGAGCGCACGTTGTTTCTGTTGTTCCTAGGTTTGGGTCCTGTTCTAGCAGTTTGCATACCAGCTGCCCTTGGGGCATCAATCTTTGGTTTCCAAGCTAAATCGTGAGCGGAGAACACTGTCATGTCCATCCGTTCTGAGCAGGTCAGGAGGTTTCCCCGCCAGCTGTAGCAGGCGAAGATCCTGGCGCCCCTGATGCACAGCCATCGCAAGGAGATGTGCCGCCGCAAGAGGAGCTACCTGGATGGAATTCTTTCCCAACCATGGTTTGGAAGGGAAGAGGGGCACAGGAATCAAGAATAGAGAGGAAACTTAGCAGCTGCTCGATATATATATTATATATATACTGTTGAATACTTTTGACTTTTGCCGATAATTGAGGCATTGTGTTTCTGGATTTGCAGGTCCATAGTGACGAGGCGAGCTATATTTTGCCCGCTAAGCCATGGAACCAACTGGTCACCAGTGTCAAGAATCTTCCGTAAGAGGGTCGAACAAGTGAATCCGATAAACTTGCCCCAAGTGAGGTTTCCAGGCAGATGATCCGGCACCATATTGGTACCCATTTGATTGGTTTTGATCTTTGTTGCAGGAACCGCACGAGGTACAGTAGGTGTCCGTTAGTTGCGGATCGCCTCCAAGGCATGCAGGTGCCAAGGAGGAGAAGGAAGAGACGTCAGAGAGCAAGAGAAAAGTCTTCACCCCTCGCGAGCTCTATCAGGTGTGACGATATTGCAAGTGATTTAGAGGTGTAGTTTGATGACCTAGGAATTGTTGTCAGGGCGGAGAGCGGTAGGGATTGATTGGATCCCTGCATGATTTGTTATTCATGGATTGATGCTGCCTGCAGTCCATTTTTTAAATTTTTTATTTGGTCTATTAAGACCATGGTATATTAAGCCCGGTCGTGAGGCTAGTGTCGAGAGCAACGCCGCTGTCGACAAGGAACGGGAGAGTTTGGTGTTGTTGCAGGGTGAGTTTGCCATGTGCTTTTGTTCTCTCTCTCTCTCTCTCTTTTTTTAGGGTTGACCACCTCAAACCCCTTTGATGATAGTATATATATATATAGCTTGAAGGGAACGTGCCACCCGTAAGCTGCTGTTCGTGAGTTGGAGATGTGTAGTACACAAGCGTCGCCCGGTGCAGGTCAAGACAGCGGCCAGTGCATCCTTGGCGCAGCGCGCTCAGCTTCCATTCTCGCACCAGGTTTGGCTCAGCACTGGCCCCAAGAGGTTATGACTGGTTGTGACTGTATATGTGGGTCAAAACCAGGAGACCCTGGTTGACCCAGACCCCTGTAAATTGAAAATGAACCGATTAGACTACTAAAAAAATGTCAACCTACCAGGGTTGGGGCTCCAGGTTTTGACCCACAGCCATATGGCCATATGGGTACATTCGCTTTGTGAATGTTGTGCAACAAGTCTTAAGATGTGACATGGGTTAACATGAATCTGGATGAAGCTTTTTGCGGCTAGGCTCAGTGGTTTTGGCGTGTTGGCCTGGCATCATTGGGCTACCTTCGCCACGTTCAACTGCCTGGGTGGTGGGCCGCAGACCTTGGTAAGAGTGTAGCCATTGTAACCATGTGCAACCCAAGCTTGGTGAGACCTGTTCAGTTCGGCTGCTCAGATGTCGCACTCATACCCTCAATCTCTACCTTCTTGCTGTGTGCATGAACTTGAATTATTTTGGCAATGATTCAATCAACTTTCTCGAGGACACTTTAGGGCTAGAAGTGTCGCATGCACATACGCACGCAACATAATTGCATGCACATACGCACGCAACATAATTAGTTGCATGTAATTAGTATAATGCGTTGTAGGTCAATTGAATTCCTTAAGAGTTGCGTTTGCATTGCAAGGTTCAAGACCAGACATGTAGATGGAGAACCTGCTCGCACTCCAAGAGAACTTATTTAGATTATTCAGGTAGGTGTAGGACAGGTGAAGGACCTGCTTCTGAAACCATTGAGATGCCCTGTGTGGCCAGGTGGTTTGGTCTCCCCACTCTTTTGAATTGGACCTACTCGTACCTTCAACCGCATCTCGTTTCTAAAACAGTTAAATTGTCCTCATGTTTTTTCCATAAGGTAGTTGTCTCACCGTCTATTCAATCAAGTTTGGCTTCCGCCAAGTGCTGCGAAATGAAAGACTTGTGGGCACAGAGATGCACAGAGCATCCCTGTACATGTGCACACGGTGATATCTTTCTTTTGTGTTGTATGTTTGCGCGATGACTTGGGTGCCAGTCATTGTTGATTGCAGACGGTCTCCTTGAGGCTCGTCCTCTTGGGTGCTGCTCTTGCACCCAGAACAGCGGGAAGACGCGCGCTGAGTGGCAACAAGAATGGCGAGGCACTTTCTCCAGCAATTGATCACTTCTAGCTGATGAGATTTTGGAGACAGGTGGTATGCTGGAAGCCAAGTTTCGAGTAGATCACAAGCCTGAATGTTGAGTCCTTGCTCAAGCTGAAATGCACTAGGAGAGCTGCCTGCAAAACATTATGTGCCAGTTGGTGGCAGTGTCGAATGAAATTGTGGGAGATGAGCTGAAGCTGGTTGTGCGAGTGGGTACGTGGCCTCACAAGCACCATGCAAACACCATCATCCAAATTGTTTGCCACCTGCCAAGTGTCGCAGGTTGCTTCACATCCTTCTTCCAAAGGATCTCGCGGTGTTGGTTCAACCCACGTTGGGCTCAACATGGTCCTTTATCTTTAGATTCTTTCTTCAACGGCTCTCACCGGGTGTCGAGCTGCTAGATTTCCTGCCATATTCACACCAGAATTCCTCCAGGGATACTTGAAGCTAAAGCTGCTCAACAATTCTGAGCGTTGGAAGGTGGATCAGAAGGCGCGAAGCGTTTGAAAACACATGAAAACACTGTGGGAGAGAGCGGAGAGACCTTGAATTGGTACAGACCACTCTCCAGGAAAGGTTGCCGAGGTCATCAACGATGTCGTGGTCGGGTCATTCTTCAGCTGCAAAACTGCAAAACCAATGTTTACTACAATTGCAGGCGCAGTGTTCAGTCTCAAGCCATGGGCCGTACTGGAAAACAAGGCAGGACACACTATGACGGCCAAATCTCCGAGAATTAGGCGTGGTTTGACCAACCAGCCACAGTTTGGCATCCAAGTAGGCCTTTGCATTTTCCGATCCACCCCCTTCACTTACACATTTCTCAATGCCAAGGATCTGAATTGAGCAGGACCTTTCCACAAACAAACCAAGGATACGGGGGCCAGCATTATCATCAGCCTCCGATGACGAACTGAGTTTTTCAAGCTTCGAATTGGATAAACTTCCAGACTTGCAACCCAACTCAGGGCTCTTGCCATTGGGGGTTCCATGGCCAGCGTCCGTGGCCATGGCGTCAGCCACTTGCGGCTTTGTAGCTTCAATGTACTGGCGCCTTCGGCCCGAATCTGTGCACCGCTACATCGCATGCCGTGGCAGGAGCGCAATTGGGGTTGGAATTCATTTTTTTGGAATGACTCTTTACACCTGCGACCACCTGCGATGTTTGATACTTTCTGGTCATCATTGATGACCAGAAAGTATCAAACATCGCAGAATCATTGCAGCTGGAACAACCGTCTTGCAAAGGAGCGACACTCGGCAATATGTGACTGCCTCCTACAACTGGGAGCGGCATCTTAGCTCAAACAACAGTCTCCTGGGGGCTTTCGGGTGTGGACGACACCAGGACCAGAAATTCTGCTGGTGCTCAGATTTAAGAACTTGAAGCTCGGAGGCCCTGTCTCAGATTGCAAAGGAGACCTGTTTGGCCCGGATGTTGAAGCAATCGCCACGTCAGCACCAACTGAGGATGTGATTTGCCTACAAGAATTCGACTTTGCAGCTGAAACTCCTGGCTTCGGGGTCCTGTGCTTTGCTGTTCTTCAATTACTTGTTGACTTTGTTGGTTTCCCTCCCTATGTCCCGACATTGTTTGTCAAATTGTGTTTGAAGCCCACAGCCATTGCAGCACCGTACCACCTCCAGCAAAGGTACGAAAGCAAGCTTGGAGCGGTCTACGAGCTCCACATCAAGCAAAGAGCCTTGCTACGCTTCACTACGCGTCCTGTGTGTTTATCAGGTGCTGCAAGTGGTCAATATTCTTGTATGCTCTAAATGGTTAAACAGTGCGCCAAGTGACTTTTGCCAATCAACTCATGATTCCCAAGTTGATTCAGCATTCCTATGTATAGTAGTGGGGACTGGGGACCAGTTCTCTTTCAAGCCAATGCTTTCCTCGGCTTGCATGCTTTGGACACCAAGGAACTGGTGGCAAGAACGAGGGCTTGGCATTGCTGATCCGTCGGGCTGCCTTCAAAGACATTGAGGCACAGATTGAAGCAGCAGGGGCACAGATTAAGCATGATTAAGCCATTGAGCACAAATCAGGCTTTGCATCGGCCATAAGTATCAAAGCCTGACAATGAAACCATAATTATCGATAATTAAGGTTTTGCTAATTTAGCTAATTTTCAAATGCAACAGGAATGCAACCATGGAACATGGCCAGCCAGAACTTTCAGCGTCGGTGTGTCGACCTGCCAAGTGTCAACCAAGGGGTTCAGCGGCCGATCAGTCCAAAAACCGCTGATCGCGTGAGAGCCTTCATCCATCTCCGTCCAACTGTTGGCAGGTACAATGCGAAGACCTAGAACCAGACTTTTGCGAACCTTGCCGGTGATGTGCTGTTTTGAAGCATAATTACTGTCAGGGAAGAGCTGCACGACCCGGGAAGCAAATGCTGACTGAACTGTAATCTATGTTCTCATGCAGAACTAGGAATTTTGCACCTGCTCAGTGCATGGGGTTGCTGGAGGGATGTAGTTCCATTTGGTTGCTCAATCAATTTCGAACACGTGCAGGCTGCAAAGTTTGCTGTTGAAAACAGCTAGATTCTTTGCTTCCGCTCATGGCATTAGTCTTTGCAGCCGAATTCCCCTGAGGATAGAGTGGCTATGTATGCCAAGATCACCCATGTGGAGAGTGGCTGCAGGTGGGGGTGTCCATTGGTAGGAATGGCCTCCCGAATAAGTACTTTGCATTTGTCTCAACATGTAGCAGAACCTCATCAAGCACAATTTCAATATATGTTATGTATATATATATGTGTGTGTGTATTTTTAATCAGGGAGTAACCATGTCTCCCTCAAACGGGATTAAGGCTTTCTGATTCTCATGTGCGCTGGGCAGGATCCTGGTTGCCAACACACACCTCACAGTGGCTCACGCATCGAACAGTTTGGGACACCAAGCTGAGAGAGAGAGAGAGGGATCTACGTATTGCAAGAAAGGGGAGGGGAACCAACTATGAAAATTAAACATGATAAACAACTCCTTTCCTACATAATGCTATCTATGCCAGATGAACCAACAAATGGAGAAGATTCGGGAAAAAGAGTTCGGTGGCAGTTGTGCACAATCTGGACATTTCAGACCTGGACATGTCCTGCTCGTTGACCAACCCCACTGTGGGACACAAGTGGGATCAGAGCCTGGTCCCGATGCTAAGGTCATGATATTCCATTCTGCAGACCTCGGCAGATGGAGCAGGTGAACCCAAAGGGAGGATGCTGACGCAGACGCCAAAGACGGCCAGAGGAACCCCAAAACATACCAAAACTATCCAAAACTATTATAGGTGCACTTTTCAAGCAGAGCACGCAGGCGGTCAAATGTATCACGAGAGAATGCCGATGCATGTTGATGTTCAGCTTGCCAGGTTTTGCGTCGTTTGCTCTCCGCTCCTTGCTGCGATGCGGTCTTTATTTGTGCAGCCCTTTGGCTTACATAAGTCTGTTGGCATGACATGGATGGACGAATCCCCGCATTGTATTCAATCTTTGTACATAATTTATGGTAGACCAAGTCCTGGGTTTGTGTCCGCAGGTTGAAGTGATTCGCCTGAAGCGAGTGCCAAGGACATGAATTCGGACCATTTGGAGAGAGAACCTTCTGGCGCATATCCGCCACGTGGCACTGACAAGACCCATGTCGGTTTCTATGCGGGATTTGCAGGACAACTTGTCCACTAATGACTTGAGGTTTCCAAGTTCAGACCTGACTCCAAAGTAGACACGAGACGAGACTAAAGCAGTTTGTAAGTCCTGGAACTTGACTTTAAACCTTTACTTTCCAAACGGGACCTGAGCCACTTGAGGCCGGAGCTGGTGAATCGTCCGGTTACCATGGCTTTTGAGAGCGGCTTTGTCTCAGCCTTACATACCAAACATCCAGGACAGGGATTGACTGCTTCTACACAACGCAATCTTGGCGTTCCACTCCACAGTATGAGCAAGCCAAATGTGTGTGGTAGCCCACCGACCGCAAGTTATCCTCGTATGGGGTATAATGATATGTATATATATATTATTAGAGTATTATCAGTGGACAGCCGGGTGATTGAGCCGGAAATGGCAGCCATTTCAGCATCATCAGCATTGGTGGACTGGAACCAGGAGTCAGGCCAATTTCGCACACCTGCAGCTATGCCCAAGATGGTTGTGCAGACTATGTAGCTTGGTTGCATGGTTGTTGCCTGGCCCATGCTTGCAAGACAACTTTCATATGTGTAGTATATATATATATATTTTTAAAAAAAAATATATATATATTATATATAACTGATAAGCATTGGTGCCTGGGCTTGCATCATTGCCACTTTTTCGGTTTTGTCAGCGAGGTGCTATACCAATCCAACGCCCGACTACAACTCAGAGATGCATTTCTCCACCCATCCAATTTGCCATTGGATGTGTCGTGGAGTGCTTCGGCGTATTCAGAGATCATGTTTTCGAACAGCATGTCGTTGTCGCGATGTTCTCTTCCTCACAGCCACCCGAGTCGCGCTTTCGCACTCATTCATGGTTGCTTCACATTCCAAGCGAGTGGGAGTCAGACAGCTGGTCCATAAGTACCGTACATCATCGATTAAGGCAGCAGCAGTGGCTGGGGTGATGTTACTTGGCAAGGCTTCTGGATTGTAGTCCCAGGTCACTCGACGTTCGTCCTTACATATTACTGCATATTACTGCATAATCTTATATATATATACATAGTATAGATTCAGTCAGGCTCATGCAGATGTCTCCGGAGTCCAGATGGTAATTGTAGACTCGTTCCATTCGATGCACGTCAGCTTGGGCCATGACCTTCCTTGACTCTCAGGAACCAGCAGCCACCTTGTCAGACCATCGGCCCTTGGTGGTAGACTTTGCCATTGAGAGTGCGCAGAACAAGCTGTAGCCACTCTCATTGCCCTGGGTCTGCAGGCAGCCTGAAAACTTCGCCAAACAAGCTTGCCAGCTTGCAGAGATGTGTGGGGATTTTCCAGGTCAAACGGCCGCTCCCGGCACATCTGAAGAGACTTGCGTTGCTTGTAAAAAGTGCCTTGGAGTTGAGCTGCTAAGGGCAGAATGAGCAGTTCATGGCCAATTATTTTTGTTTCTAAACCGGAGAGAGCCTCATGTGTAAGCTTTCTGGCTTCAAGGTGTTGGAAGCCTTTGGTACGATTTGCTATTGAAGCGACATTCGCAGGATTTCGTAGGAGAGTTTTCTGAGAAAGTTGAAAGTGTGGAACGAAGAATTGGGATATCGGGTTGCTGCGGGTTGCTCTCAGAAAGTTTGTTTGATACTGTAGTTGTGTTTCGATTGTTTTGGACCACGGTGGGGTATCGATCACTCCAGGAATCTGCGCACAGTCACGCCAAGTGAAAGGCCGTACGACCCGGTTTTCAATTGTGGTGCGGCATGGCAGGGTCACAAGGAAGACTACTCCTAGTAGCGTCCTTGCTCCTAGTAGCGATGCCAGGAGCCCCTATACAGTAGCTGTAGCT